GCGCCCTTTTTCCAAATGGAGATAATTCTCTGAGAAAATCTTTAGCTCCTTAACTTACTTTTCTTCCTTGACCCCCTATAGTGGGCAGCCTTCAACAGAGATTAAGCTTTTATGCACCAAGACGTTCACGGCGGCGTTTATAACCAGAAACCGAACACAGAATGTCTAACAGACATTGGTAAGTTTGTTTTGGAGCAGCCACTGCAATTCTTTTTATGAGTTTTTAACATGTGGAAAGACCTCATGCTCCACCGTCAGGTGTCGGCGTCTGTGTGGGCTGAAGTGCGGGCTGCCTGGCTCTCTTCTCCAGCTCCACTCTGTCTAGACAATCTCTTATTCCTGAGGCTTCATACAGTATCTGCATGTAAAACCATTAACTCCAGACATGTGCTTCCCGTACTGACCTGCCTTCTGAGGTCTAGTCTTGTACATCCAATTACTTTTCAAGTCCCCTCCACTTGGAAGCCTCAAAAGCATCTCAAATTCAATTCATTCAGAAGAGGATTCTTGATTCTCTCTGCCCTAAACAAAACACATTAGAATTACTCTGCCCGTCAAACCTTCCCACCACAGTGGATGTATGATCATCTACCTGGTGGCTCGGCAGCATCTAGGAGCCAGTCTGGTTTACTTCATTCACTGCCACCCTCAACAAGGAATCCATCAGCAAATCCTATGAGTTCAACCTCCAACACACGCATCAAACGCAACCTCTCTCCATTTCCTCGGCCACCACACTTGTCTACGTCATCACCATCAATAGCCCACACGACTTCTCTTCCACTTTTTCTTCTCCAGTCCCTCTTCCACGCAGCAGCCGGCGTGCTTGTCGGAACTCGCACAACCCCGCCACTCCCCAAGGCTCTCCGCTTCCCGAAGGGCAGGCGTGCTCAGACTCCTGACCACCCCCAACCTGGTCCCCCTCAGGCTATTCGGCCCTGGCTGCTGGAGGGGCCCCCTCTGGCCCTGACCGTGAGCCGTCCCGTTCTGGCACCTCTGCGGGCGGTGCGCTCTCATCCTCAGGTCTTCCCACTTCTCTGCACAGCTGGCACCTTTTCAACGTTCCGCCCTCAGGCCAGATGCGACCCCCTCAGAAAGGACACCCCAGTTACCATCTGTATACGTCACCTTGCTTATTCTCATGGCGCTGACTATAGTACATGATGCTCTCATTTTAGGTTTACTTGCTAACATTCTGTCATTCTCATCAGAATGCAAGCTTCCCAGAGCACAGACTGTCTGTCTTGTTTATACTGTATCCCCAGTGCTTGCCTGGCACTCTGCTTGAGGGGGAAACAAAGGCTCAGAATGGTTAAGCAAGCTGCTCAAGGCCACACAGCTAGCAAGAAGTAGAGCTGAGATTTAAACCTGGGATTTTTCTGCCTGTGAAGCCCATGTTCTTCCCATGAACTCCCCTGCTCTATGCCAGAGCCACACTCCAGACATCTCTGCTGCACTTACTCTCCGTGCTTCTGGGGAAGGAGGCTGTATTTTCCTGCACTCACTCCCTTCTAATTAACTACAGCCATTAGTCGTTAAGCATTTACTGCTGTGTGGCCCTGGGCATTAACCTTTGCAACTCAACTTCTTTATCCATATAATGGGGTTAATACTAGAAGATACTGTACAGTTGCTCTGAGGATAAATGATGAATATTTTTAAAGCGCTTAGAACATTGCCCGGTACACAGAAAGCATTATACAAGCATCTGCTAAAGAAATGAAATATGTTTAGTGAGTACCTCCTGTACATTCAGCACTGCAGTGTCAGAAGCAGGAGAGGAGATGTAAGCGCCATGCACGTCCACCGGATCCGCGCACAAGGCAGGCAGGCAGGGCTTAAGTGCGGGCCACAGCAGGAGAACGGGTAACTCGGGTTGGTGAGCGCTCGCCAAGTGCAGGTACTTCCTAAGCACCTCCATACGTTTATTCTGGTCCACATACGCTCCCATAGGTCGGTGGTATTACAAGCCCCACTCTAGAGATAAGTCAGCAGAGGCACAGAGCTTATGGGGGAAGAGCAGGGACTGGAACTGGCCAGCTGCTTCCAAGTCTAGCTCTCAGGCACCACACTGCACAAAGCGGTGGTGGCCGTTCTGTCCACGCTACAGAACGACACATAAGCTCCTGTCTGGCTGATAGAAAGTAAGCACGATGCAACTTTCTGTGTAAATGAAGAATGTTATGTTGTTTAAACAAGAAGAAAGATTTAACTCAATATTTCTCATCTAAGATTTTAATTTAAGCAAGAATAAACAACTACCAAAACCTTTAAAAAGCCATTTCCATTGGTGTAATTGTCTCTAGTTGTGATGAGGAAAGTCTGATCACCGAGTTAATATAACTGCTACATTTACAGAAAACACTTACCTTTAAAATTCATGTATATTGTAGATTGTACATCAGATTCATATTGTAAAATATCACCTAAGCAAGATTTGACCTAAAGAATCCAAATACATACACAAAAATGTATAGGAAAGGAGAAAACGGGATAAACCATGTAAATGCAAAGAGAAAGTTGTGAATTATGAAAACAAGGTTTTTAATTGATTTTCCAATATGCAGGCCACTGCTGCTGGAGGTATCAGGACCTTGGACAGCACTAGGAGGGTAGGTTTTTCTCCAAAGGACTGGCTTTATATTAGATACATATATGAATTCCTCAACTTCTCTGCATTTTAAAATTCTGTTTTAATCCTACTGCCTATCATGTAAAAATTGTTCCTTTATGTGCAGAATGTACCAGTGATGGAATACCTATTTTTACAAATTCTTCCTCCTGCAAATGCTGGCTGCCATTTTTGTTGCAATGTCTTCATTTACTCATTAAAGGATAGAAATTAAAGGAATGTAAAAAAATCAAAAATAACATTTAAATTCCTGATGTTGTTATAAGTGGAGCATATTGGATGCCTTCAAAAGATAGTGGACATAAGATATACATACATAAACTATTAATTTTTTATTTAAAATTAACTGGTAGCCCAGAGGACCTCAATCATTTCTCTTTGTCTCATTTTGCAAAATGGACATTATTTAGTGGTTTCAAAAGCCCTGCTGTTAAATTCAGAAGGTCCTGGACAAACATCTCAGTATTAGCTTCCAAAGGAAACCCCAGGAGATGTATTAAAATGGACACACGTGTACATAATAGGGACACACACACACACACACACACACACACATAATATGGATAAATTCTAACAGCTTATTACTAAAACAGTGAAGATAAATTTTTTGAAATATTAACACCCATTGTTAAGGTATTAAAAAAAAATCATTGTGCAGATACGTGGGCTCAATGCCCAGCCCCAAAGCCTTTCGCCTGCTATCTTGTAAGATGAAGCAGGCTAAAAAATTGAAGTGCTCTGCCAAGCTATTCTTGAAAGCAATAATATGGTCAGAAACTCGCCATATTTCTGCCTCTTTACTAATTTCCTAAGGCCGGCCTGTGTTTTTTTGGTCTTCCTCTAAACGACTGATTGAGGTGGTGACTTAATCCTCTGTAGCTCATAAAACAAGGTTCTCAGAGGCTCCAAGTCCACTGGTGGGGGACAGGGAAGCTGTTGTGCTCAAGAATTAATCTACCCGAGGGCATCAAAAGCAGCCTCAATGCAGCCGTCAGCATGTTTTCACTCTGCAAGCCCCACATTTCCTATTTAAGAAACACAGAGCCACTACCCCATTCTGTATTCCCACAAGGCTCCCTTTTATTTACTTGTGTTTGTTATTGGGTGGCTTATCTCGACAGTCTGTGCGATGCCACTGGTGTGCACACATCCATTGAGAGAGGAGAAAAGAAGTGTCTATTGCAAACTTGTTAAAAGGAAAAAGGACTCCCACTGGTTTTTCCTTTGGCCAAGCTTCTATTCAGAGAAGAGGATTTTAACTCTTTGTGTCCCAGAAGAGGATGCTTTCTTTGGGCATTTTAAGTTTTGCAATGGCTTCTTTACTGACGCAATGTCATAAGCGAGAGAAAAAATATGTGACTCAGATCCCCACAAGCCTAGACGCTTCTTCACGGTTACACAGAGCACATTAGATGCCACAGTGGAGACTTTTATTTCATTCTTAACATGCTTAAGCTGTTTTTACAAAGCAATTTAAGTATGGCTACATAATACTTAGAGAAGCACTCTACTTTGGAACAGTGGGCATTTCTGTAAAACTCCTGGTTGGGTCTTAGTTGTTTTACTTTGGAAGGGTCAACACAAGTCGTGCATAACCTTGACAGTTTAGTGACAGGGCTGCTGAAGAAGATTGCATGTTTTAGGCCGTCACAAAATGGCCTGCCACTATTTTCTGTTCATTAATGATCTGGGTGGTTACTGAGATTTAGCGCTCACTTAATCCAGTTCTGCCTCTAATATATTAGAGTACACAGAGGGGGAGATAGAGATTGACAGACAGACAGATAAGGTCAGGTTCACTGCCGCTCCCCAAAGCTCCTTGTGCAATCAATCCCAGTGAAGCCTGGGCCAACACAGAATGGTTTGCCTTAACGAGAACTGGCGCTATTCCTGAACTGAAGACGTCACGGAGCACCCTGTGCACGGAGCTGACCACAGGTATTCCTTCCGCCTTTACAGAGGTGTGGCCACAGGTGAGGGGCAGGCGGTAGCTTTTAAACACCAGGGGTTTTGAGAATTCTGCTCTTGGCGGGTTTGGACGGAGAAGAGTTAATCGCTGCACGTTCTCTCCCTGGCCCCCTCCCTGCTGCGTCCCAGAGGGACAGGGCTCAGGGGCAAGGCAGCCCAGGACCTAAGAGGAGGAGGGAGAGCTTCTCTATTCTTCAGCATCTCTCGAATTAATTAACTGGAAATGAGTCTTGTCAATGTTTTGGAAAGGCAGAAGGGGGGAAAAGAGAGCATTAGAATTAATCACAGTGAGAAACTACTTCAACTGCCTGCCAGAGCTCAGAAAACCCAGCGAGGAGAGGAAAAGAAAAGGGACGAAGCTGACGTGCCATCCGAAGGAACAAATGGAATCCAAGCACACTTCCAAGTTTTCGCCAAGTGAGGGATGTGCCCTCAACTGAGAGGATTTATTTGCTGCCAGTGAGTACAATATGTTACATGTAAATGCACATTGTATCATGAGGACAGAGGCAAACCAGACAGACGGTCACATTTTTAAAGCAAAGAAACAACAGAAAACTCATGTACTTTCACTTTTAAGCTTATTCATTTAACGCTATAACCTAAAAGGTTCCATGTGTTCCTGGATTTGTAACTAAAAAATCTTTAAACACTTGCGATTTCACACACTGCAGAGGATGAAAAACCCACGAAACAGATTCCAGGATTTCAGATATTTGGATGGAGAGTGTTCATTCACTAGGAAGAAAAGCGAAATAAAGTTGCAGATATAACGGGATCTACTTACAAGAATCATCAAAGGAAAAGAAATACAGAGAGTTTTGGTCAATGATCAGAAATAACAGAGAAAGCTGAAACAACTCATTCAATATTATACAAAGGGTTTTCTGCTCTTTTTATTGCAATCAACATTAGTTTTTAAAGAAAATCAAATTCCTGTCAGAAACTTTTAGACCATGTAAAGTTTTTGACATGCTTTTAAATTTCTCCCCTAGAACAAGTTTGAAATTTTAACTATTTTAGGGGAATGGCAGCAAAAGCCTAAACAAACAAAAACATTTGTAACTGAGGGCTTTCTTTGCCATTTTAGAAGGCCAAATGCTCCCATCCATGTTCTCAAGTTCATGATGGAGGGGAAGGGGGAGCTGCTCTCTGCGACTGAAAGGGCACCTCATTCACTCTCGCCTACTTACCAGCTGAGGGGTGTCCCCAGTAGGCTTCAGAATCAGCTTGTCACCCCTCTTTTCAACTTCAAAACCCATTTTCTTAAGGAGGGACGCGTCTGCCAGCCCCTGCGCCTCCATCTCTGCGATCAGGTCTTGATTCTGGCTGTTGTCTTCCGTGAGGTTTCGGATGGCATACACTGCCCACTGGGTCAGAACTGGGAGCGGAGTAAAGGAATCTGCAGACGTAAGTTCCTGTTCTAGACCTTCACATGAGCACTGCTGCAAGGGGAGGACGGGCACGGCAGTGCTGCAGAGCCAGGATCCATTAGCAAGCTTGTCCTGTGGCTATGCTCTGAATATACATCCAAAGTGGGGAAAATGAAAGACAATACATGCATATGCACATGTATGTTCAATGTGTGTGTGTGTGTGTGTGTGTGTGTGTGTGAGGTACAGCAATGGCACACAGAGGTACTTAACCAGGATTTGTTGAATGAATGAACAAGGAAGTAAAGGCTTAGAGTAACCACACCTGAAGTTTACGAACACAAGAATGCATGTGCACACGCACACACACACACACACGCTGGACAATTACGTTATTGAGTCATCAGGGAAAGAGTAAGACCAATCAAGAATTAGTCCCAAAGATACCAGGTTAAAATCAGACACAAAAATCTTGTTTAAAGTAGCCCAGTGAACAGTAAGGATCTCCTACGAGTCACCACAGAATTTCCCCCATTTCGTATTTTAAAGATGAAGCTAAAAAGCCTTTTAAAGATTTGCTGTGTTTAGTTTGAATACTTGTGTTCACGAGAAGGCATCTCATCCTCACAGCCTTACTGGGCCGCGGCCCAAATTTTAAACGTTTGGTACAGTGTCCTCCACAGCAGACAGAAGACAGCTTAGGAAAAAAAATCAGAATCACTGTATTATAAAAAAAATGCTTTCACTTATTTACCGAGAGCTGTGTAAACCGCCTGAAAGCATTAAATTACTGTAGGGACCAACGGGTCTGCAGCAGCGGATCTGGGGACACAGAGGACAAGCCGAGAACAGCAGTCCCGGCACCTTCTGTTGGTCTGCAGTGAACAATAAAGAGCCTGGGGTGGAATAAATGTACTCTTTCAAGGGAAAGAGGTCCGTGCTACATGGAAGGCAGTGGGAAAAATGAGGCCTTTCACCTGATTACCAGATGTTTTCCACACAGGCATTTCTGACGCTGGAACTGGGGCATCTGTGTCCCCAAACGGGGTCAGGCCCTCCAGCTGTGGGCACCACTGACGACCCCGTCCTAGTTTTCCGGCACAACAGGGAGGCTGGTGGGCGGCACTGCTCCCTCAACTTGGCGCAGGAAGCCACAGAGAAAGGCTTCGGCGTGACAGAGTAAGTGGACCAAACTGTTTCCCTAGTTGGATGTCCTCAAGGGAAAACAGTGAACATGAGCCACTGACATTAGACTGAAGCGCTGCAAACACAGGCCTCGTGCTCAGGATGGGCGTACAAGGCCGCTCTGTCTCTGTCCCTCCAGGCTGGTGTGCACTCCTGCCCAGGCCCTCTTGGCACCCCGGCCACCGTGGTGGCACCGCAGTGACCCACAGCGTTGTGCTTTTCCTGTCTGTCCTCCACGTGGTTTCCTGACTCGGGGTTTTGCTGGGTTGAGAAATGAGATGGAAGTGAACCAGTATCCACACAATCCAAGCAAGGAGGCTGGGCTGTGTAAGCAAAAGGTCCATGGCAACAAAACACCAGAATCCCCCTGTGGACAGACGGAAGGGTGGATTTTAATCATGTTCAGGGGCACCTACCACACCCTGTGAAGATTCGTCACAGTATTTTGGTAACATTTCTCCCTTGAAGTGCACGGTAGTGAATTTCTGCAGGAAAACTTACATTCCCCATTTTATATGTATAGGGAAAGAATGAGACCGATGAGTATCTCTCCCCACCCAGGAGCCCCACCCAGCTGGGCCAGCACCATCAGCAACGAAGTGGGAGAGAGTTTCACGAGGTGCAGATTCTCGGCAGAGCCGCTGGGTGGACAACCTAAGAGAAAGCAGCATTGAAGCCTAAAGCAGAAATGGCACTTATCTGCTGGCAGAACGGGAACTCGCGGGGCAGAGGTGTGCCGGAAGGGCAGGCAGCGCTGGGGGCTCCAGCCGCCCCACCTCGGGGCCCGGCTCTGGGCCGCAGCGGCACCTGGAGAACCAGGAATAGCAGACAAGCGGCTGTGCCGGCCCCCAGCTCTCTCCACTTAGATGTGGCTTCTTGCCCAGTGCTGTCAGTGAAAGCAGTCCCGCTCCCGCCTTGAGGCCGTGCCATGCCAGCACACGGCGCGCTGCTCCTGCCCTAAGCTGGGCACACGGGCAGGGCAGCTGTGCGTCTGCCTCGGCCCTGGGTTTGGGCCCTCGGTCCGAGTTAGATACCACGGAAAGGCGCTCCTGTCTGTCCGTGTCCAGGAGAACATTTCAGCACTCCTGTCTAGGGCCTCTGACTGAACAATAATAATTGAAACAACAAAATTTAACGGCTACCCCTTTCATAAAATTTGAGTTGAAACTCGGCGCCTGTGAGCCAGTCTAACGCACGGCCCGGCTCATGAATATGCAAGACCATCCTTGTCGGCCGCGTGAAAGGCTGAGGGCCCTGGGCAGCCTCAAGTGCCACAAGGGAGATTAAAGCGGGCTGGTTAATATTCACGTTGCCCTCCTGTTCCCTCTCTAAGGAGACAGAAAGAAAAAGAGAAGGGGAGAGAAAATTAAACATCTTCTAAAGCTTCTAATCCTACCAACACTTGAAGTGTTCTATTGTGTGCTCAGCTCTGGGAGGAGGGCTGCTGACGTTTCCATAGCTACTGCAAACAGAAGGCGTGAGCCTGTTTGTTACAAAACGGCCTTGAAAGAATCCTGCAATGGGCACTAGAGTGCGGACCCCAAGGGCCGACCAGCTCTTCAACGACTGCACGTTGGTACCTTGCGACAGGTCAGAAAGATGATGGTGGCGATACGCACCCCGCAACTGCCGTGCCTGGGAAGGTGGAAGTGAGAAGCCGAGGGCGGGGAGCACTTGTGTGAGGCCGCAGTGTGCAGCGTTCAGAATGCCTTGGCTCAACACTGAACCCTGGGGCCTTGTGCAAGTCAGGCGACAAATGTAGGCTGGGAGGCACACGGTATGGGAAAGAATCTTGCAGCAAGGATTCTACTGAGCAGCAGACGCATGTGCCAAATTCAATTTTAAGGTAATCAGGTGAGTTAGCACATTACAATTGGAACTGTCTGATGAGAAAGATCCTATCTAACCAAGAAAGACAACATTCTTCCAGTCGTCAGCACCGATGGTAAAGCCCTGTAGAAAACTAGGTCACAGGCCCCAAGACGACGGGCACTTTGCTCTGTCACGGCCCTACCTCTGCGTCTGGAAGCCTGCTGAGAACAGAGGCTGGCAAACTATAGCCCGTGGTTTTGTACGGCCCCAAGTTCAAGACAGTTCTTGTATTTTTAAGTGGCAGGGGTAAAAATTCAAGCAATACTAATTTGTGACGCATGAAAATTATCTGAAATTCAACTTTCAGTGCCCATAATAAATGAAGTTTCACCGGCACACAGCCGTGCCCATTCATTTATGTACTGCCAATGGCTGCTGTGATGCTGCGGAGGCTAAGTGGGGTAGTTGCAACGCACACAGTATGGCTAGTGAAATATTTACTAAATCTAACCCTTTACAGGAAAAGTTTGCCAAACCAGCCTAGAACATGAAAGGCACCAATAAATATTTGCTGAATGAATAAATGAGCTTTAAAAAGTACTAGCATTGAAAAACTTAGATTATTTGAGTTAAAACAATTTAAATATGTTAAAAGGACTTTAATGACTTTTTAGGACATGTGTGTATTTATTTTTTATATATATATACACACTGTATACACACTATATATTATATATCTATTTTATGTATTTATAGATGCACAATGTACACATATTTAATGTCACATACAGGATATATATAATAACTATATATATATATACATATATATATATATATATAGTATCTATATTTATTTAATTTCTGCTTCCAGGATATATTTTAAGAAGTTATTTGTAGAACCCACCATGGCAAGGGAATTATGTACTGCCCAGCCTTTCCAAAGTGCACTATGTAGCAGGGCACAGAGTGTACATCAGAAGCCTTTTATAAAATTGGTCTGAGGAGGATGTTCAATACTAGACAAGCCCACTGCATCAGGCTTTCACAAAACCATGAAATTATCTGTAATTATGTAACTATTACAAAACCATGTAATTTTCCTAAAGATGAGGATGCTTACTATGTAACTTCTGTATCTAAACTAGTTAGTATCTTCTCAGACTCTGGTAAATTTGCATAAATTTTCAGAGTGCAAAGAAGTAGTTCAGTTTTAAAGTTGTTCAAAATTTTAAAATGCTTTACACTGCTAAAAACCAAAATATTTCTAAATATGCCAATTTCTGTTGGCCAAAGAGACAAGGCCCGGGACGTGGCATAGAAAGGGTGACCTCTTGCCTGCTGGCTCGATACACTTCTGCCTTCCTCCCAGCCACGCAGTCACAGAAAACGTGTCACCGGTGTGTCCCCGGCCTGTCCAGGTCCCTGACCCCTGGGAGTCCTGACCAACCTCAGCCCTGCTCTTGAGGTGCTTCCTTTCTGAGGGAGAAAAAAGGCATTTCCCAAACTGCTGCCCAGGGGACCGTGGGCTTCACTGAGGCTTCTGCTGTGGGAGGAAGAGGAACTTGTCCAAACCACAGAGGACACGAAGCCTCCACCAGACCAGGGCGGGAAGGAGACGGCGAAGCGGGAAGAGCTCACAGCCTGGAGGCCTTCCCAGGGAGAGAGCCCCAGAGGGAGGGAGAGAGGGCCTCGTAGAGGAAATAAACCTGAAAAATACAGCTACTGTTCCTGTACTAAGTGCCACACAGTTTTCCTGCGCCACTGACTCCTGAGTGTCAAGGGAGATTTCATTGCTTTCCTTGCAAAGTTCATTTGGCATCTTGCTTTCATCTCGTAGATTATTTATTGCTTTAACTCTCATTTATGTCATTCAGTCACCTACATGTTCTTCTCATTCCGAAAATTTAAGCAGCTATCTTTATTGTACATATTCTACAAGGGGCTCCTTGCACGAGGCTGGAAAACAGCACGATGAATAACTAATGCAAAGCACCCATTCTGGCCCCTCTTC